ACAGGGGAAGCTACATGAAAGTAAGATAAACTGAGAGTGATGTGTTAAGGAATGCTGGAATGTCTATGTTTATAGTGACATATTTTGTGACTGTGATTCGTGACTTTGCTTCATTAGCTCATATTACGGGTGAGACTTCTCACAGCTTATTCAACTCTACCTTCACCTCTGCTAAACCAAACTCTGCTCAGCGATGGGTCAAAGCGTTAGTTCACCCAAGCTCAGAATTCTTTTTCTTAGGGAAAACGATTCTGAAGTGAGTTGCTTTACCCAAAGTGTACTTAAATACAGCAAAAATGTCATAGTGTTCAGAAAGTATAAGTGAAAGTTTTGATAATACAATCTTACAGCTCTTAGATGTATAAACAGATGGAAAGGCATGTTGAATATTTTGGCATGTCAAAATGTTGCATAGTTGATTCTCCTCTAATTCCTAGAAGAATAATTCATGAATAACTGTTCACTGATCCCTATAGAAACCAATATGGAAATAGTGGTCAATCCATTTATCAGTAGGCATACATAACATAGTAAGAAATCCACGTGATTTTGTGGAAATTATTGCTACAGATTGTTTTGAATACTAAAGTGTGTTAGCATTTTTCAAAATATATAGGCAAATTCAAGGTCTTAATTTGAAACTACTGTGGTCCAAAAGCGACTTGTGATTCACAAACAGAGGGCACAAAAACAATCACTCGAGAGTATCTTTTATGCCAGGTCTTGTAAACTTCATTTAACAAGTCAAATGATTGACCTCAATGTCCTATTATTAGTAGAAAGGCATGTTCAAGGGAAAAGATAGCACTTGTAAGAAAATGTTAGGGTCGTCATTATCTGAGACCCTGTCCCTATTTGAAGGCAAAAGCAGACAAACCTAGAGAGCAAAATACAGCAGTAGAGACCAGGAGAGCTGTGGAAGGCGGTAGTGGGAATGAAGCCTATGCGGGCTGTACTTGTATTTTTTAGGATGCTTGGTTAAACTAAGATTTGATAGCAAAGAACTGTCTGTTGTCTGAGAGGGTTAATATGCCAGAGAGAAAACAGCCAAGGAGACGTAGGAGCTCGGATTGTAGTTTGTCCGAGCTGCCTAAGGACAGCGCCTTGGCAGATGAACAACGAAGATGGTTAAGGACTGGAGCATGTCTCTTATGAGGAAAGACTAAATGAGCTGGGCCTGTTTAGACTGGAGAAGACTGAGAGGAGATCTGATCAACATGTTCAAGTACCTGAGGGGAGAATGTAGGGAGGATGGGGCCAAACTCTTCTCAGTGGTGGCCAGTGACAGGACAAGGAGGAATGGGTACAAGCTGAAACACAGGAAGTTCCCCCTCCATGAGAGGAAGAGCTTCTTTCCTGTGAGGGTGACAGGCTGCCCAGAGAGGTTGTGGAGTCTCCTTCTTTGGAGATCGTCAGAACCCGCCTGGATGCCACCCTGCGCCATGTGCTCTACTGGCACGAGGTCCCTTCCAACCTCAACCATTCTGTGAGCACTTCCAGCAGCTACGTGGAAATGAGGTGTGCTTAGTCACACTTCTGACTTCAGTAGATTCTTTGCCTAGGCATAGGCATTAATTAATAATTAGCAGTAATTGCCTTGAGCTCATAAATTAGCAATTAGCATAATGTTTTTGCTCAGTATCAGAATGAATAGTGAAACCCTTAATTCAGTGAGATTGTTACAAAGGTTATTCATCCTGAATTGAAAACTTTTAAATTTAAAACACTTCTTAATATTTCACTTTTGCAAGATTATTCAGCTGAACCTAGCATCAATCCAATATTAAATCTAAATATTATTGTTATTCACATAGATGCTCACCTTTCTGAGGATGAATTATTGCTATAATGGTTTCTTTTGGCAGCCAGTTCTACAAGCTAATTATGTACTGTGTGACGAATTACTTCTTACTTTTTAAAAAATGACTGTCTTTTAATTTTTTTGAATCTTTTCCTACTGAAGACAAAAAAAAAAGGTTTATTCCGGTGTTGCAAAGAAGCCCCTCCTCAGCCCTATCTATAAAACCCATTTACAGATACAATAATTTATAGTATAATCATAGACTCCAATTATCTTTCATATTTGAAAGATAATTGCGTTTTTCAAAGATAAGAAACATTGTCTCCTAGCTCTTCATTTAAACAATTATACTCATAAATAGATTTTAGGCCTCATTTGTCCTCTTACACGAAGAAATGCAGCAGTTTGTTCCTAAGTGAACTTTTCTGGGATCTCTGACCTCTTGATCAAAAGTTCTCAGCTAGGAGGGCCACTCACTATCAGAACGGCTTCAGAGATGCTTTGCACATTATGATCCATCTTACTGGCAAAGCTTGGGTCAATTTCCTTGCCCACAATTACTAATTGGTTACATGATATGATGAGATATGACAAGATAAACCCAATAGTTCAGGTCTTGGCCTTAAAGCAAGTTATAAGATACTGACATTCATGCAAGGGTGTGGGAAACAAACAAGCGAAAAAAAAAGGTGGCTTCTTTGCTCGAAGAGTGTAGTAAGAGAGGATATAATCCCTATATTCCACTCCCTGAGCGTGTGAGGAGGGTTACTGAGAAGGTGGAACCAACCACACATTATTCAGAAGGGAGTATCAGAAGGACAAGGTGCAAAATAAAGAAATTATAAGGAAAACAAATCTCATGAGTGGTCAAACACAGGAGAAGCCCAAAGAAGCTGTGGAATCTGAATTTTTGGACCTTTTCAAAATTTGTCAGGGTAAGAGCCTCTGCAACCTAGCAGGCCTTCAAAGGTCCTTCGAAAGACTTTGAAAGACTTCAGCAAAGACTATGGCCTGCTAAAATATGCCTCACTAGGATACTGAAAGACCCATCACTGGGTTACAAATGAGGAAAATATTGCCACTGATTTGGGCAGGCACTCTTGGTCTCCCAGCACTTCACTCTGTGCGTGGTAAACCTGCACTGAATTTCCACTCTCATTGTTTATATATTCAAGCATTGTCCTCACAAAGAAGCTGCCGCTAGAGCAATTCCACTACATTTTATCAGGGGAGTCCGAAAAATGGGTATCCACTATTGGCGAAATGGGATGGTCTCTCTTTGACGGGACCTCAACACCTTCTCAAGACTTTTCTAAGGCAGCAGTGGACTTTTGGATGATCATTTTTGGAAATGCAAGACGTCTATCCTCCTTTTGAGACCAGGACGGATGCTGGCTGGGATTGTAAAATACTATTTCAGGTTAGCAGACTTTCGTTATCACAGCTGTCTGCTGAGAGTTTACCAAGAGATGAAGAACGATACTTTCTTCTTTTTGCGCCAACTGCTGGCACTTAGACACTCAGAAAACCTTTTTAAATTTTTTGGTCCCTGGAAATACAGGTGAAGGGTTCTCAATTTCCCCTGCTGATATCATCTGCAGCCTGCTTTCATCTTCCTTACTTGTTTATCATTCAATAAAATCGTACACGTTACAGAACAAATCCTCCTGTTCTCATTGTAAACAGCCATGATGTGAAGGCGCTGTTACTATTTTGGCATTTGTAGCAGTGCAGTGGCTCTGCAGTGGCATCAGCAAGGACAGAAAATGATCTTACAACCTCTCCTGTAGGGTGGGAGATGTTAATTCTCCTCCCTGATCTTTTACTTCTTGGATGACTGTTAGTTACCCATGAGCTTTGTTACCCAAGCGTGTTAACGCACAAGCTCAACACGTCTGCATGGCTGGCTGAAGTTACAGGCTCTTCCTGCCTGTAGCTAAAATGCAACCAAGCTCAGGATGCTGCTGGATGCTGCAGGGCCCTTCTGAGTATATGCAAAGACCTGTTTGGGTGCCTAACATTGAAGCATAAACTGAGTTTTGCTATAGTCTAGAGTTAAAATAGTACTTGAAACTAGGCTCTCTGAACTTTGATACTTAAGATACCTACAAGTCATTAATGAAAACTCAGATGGAATTTATGCAGTTTGAATGTGGCCTCTTGATGCTTTGAAAATAGAGTATTATTGGTGAAATGTGCAAATCCTTATTTTAAAAGACTGTGCTGCCTACAAGTTGGTGGTTGGAGATGGTAAAAATACTCAGTATCTGATCTGAATACAGCGCTAGAAAGGCGTTTCAGTGAACGCAGCTGCTGGATTTGGCTGTGAAGTTTGTCTGCAGCCACGACGTCTCTCTCCACTAAGAAGCGAGCGCGTCTGCTGCAACGCAATGCTCGATGGACCAGCCCCGCGCTAGCACCGTCGCTCTCAGCACTGTCTTCCGGAGCCACGTGCTCGTTTTTCAGAACTTTTTCCTCTTTCCGAGGCTTTCCCAAAATGGGTGAGGATTTGCTCATTTCCCTTTTCTCTGGCAGAAGCTGCGCGTCGCTTTCCTGCTGCTCCTCGCTGTTACCGGCAGCTCGCTGGCACAGCCAGCAACGGGTGGCTGCACCCCGGCGACTCCGCTTTTGGAACACAAGTCGCGCAAAGTTTAAACGGGCGCTTTTCCGCCCAACGCGCCCATCGCTCCTCCTCGCGGTGAAGCCGCTCGGGCTCC